AAACAGAAGCATTTCCAAAGTCTACGTCTTGCATTTCTATCTCTACTAAATCTATGCCCGAAAGTACTAAGCATCACACACTTGTAACCTGAGCGGATATAACAATGTCGTGTCTCAATCGCGTGTGATCCTGTCTAACAGGTTCCCTTGGGTTGCAGCTGACTGTTGCAGCAAGTATAAATGGCCGGATCGTAGCACGCCGGCCCGCAACGTCTCGGAGCAACGTTTGGACATAGCTGACCATCACAGCATACATATTGTGTTACTATATGGTAACCCCGATGATTACAGAAGAAGTATGGACGATAGCCGGGAACGAACAGAACATTGAGTAACCATTTTTCATCAAAATAAACGAGGAAAACGCCTTCTGAGCATCCTTACCATCGTATACTCCGCAATTAGTAGAACGGCATTCCCCATTTGAAGGAGGTGATGGTATGGTCGTCGTCGTGGCCGAGGGAGTGGCAGTATGACCTGCACTGGTAGTAGATGACGGAGGAACTACTGTAGGTTTCTGAGTGGGTGGGAGAATGGTGTGAATCGTTGTCGAGGGAGGCGTGGCTGGCGTGTTGGCAAAGATGCCAGCTGCATACGGAAGGTCGACTGCCGCTGGGTTGTATTTCATGAGATCCCACAGATCCTTTAAGGTGCTCGCAGGCGCGGGGGCATCGGCAACGCGCACTGGAAGGGCAGCTGCCGCAACCCGGGCGGTTCCGGGTGTTGGAGGACGGGATGCTGTAGCATTCAGTGGCTGGTCATGAGTGATGGCTGCGGTAGAGTTTGGGAAATTATCGCCAGACGTGAGAGATGTAGAGTTTCGGAAAGCAGCCACTCCAGGCCTCTGACGTCGAGTAAGACCGCTACTTCCAGCACCCACTGTAATGTCATTCAAATTGAGAGATGCGATAGTTGAGCCCACATCGGGACCATTTTTGCAATTCTTGAAATCATCCGCAAAATGCTCTGAAATAGGGCAGGAATGGATGTTCGCAGCGGAATCCATCCGTAGAAAGTCAGATCAGAACACGAAAAGAAGCAGCCGCGCCCCACACCTTGCTAGCACGCACCAGTATGGACATCGGCACAATTGTTGACCACGTCTCCCCAGCGGCCGTCTGAGCCGCAGTGTCGCACTATCGATCCTTCTCCGTATGGGCAATTGTAGGAACTCGTCTGCCCAGCTGCGGTCGTTCTCCAGCGGCCGTCAGCGGTACAAAACCCTGTATTGGGAGTCTCTGTATTGGCATTGCCTGTAACAGAGAGAAGCAATACACCATCCGGATCGAGGTCGAGAGACCAAATGGCGACACCTGGGAGACATTGTTTGGCGGCGATGCCCATCTTTGCTTGAATTGTTTCGTGGTTTTCATATCTGTGAAAGGCCGGAGGTGCATATTATAAAGGACGGCATGGTGAGTTAGTGAAAGTTGGTTAACTTAAATCCACATCTAGAACAACGATCAGATCGTCTGCTTACGAGATCCATTGATCACCAGAACTTGCTACGGCGCTCATGCTAGTTTTGTCTACCGCAGTTTGCGTCCGATCGAGGGCCTGCACCTCGGAGTAACTGATGAACCCAGGGACGTTAGTGCACACGCCCGGTTTCCCGGCACTGGAATACGGACATCCCGGGTCGATGCAATCAGGACGCATCAACGTGTACGAACGACCGTAGAACGCAATTCCCATGACAAGTTTTTCCCGTGGAACACCGGCTTTGAGATACGCTCGCAGAGCATTGTCGATATCAAATTTGTTAGCGTGCGGCTGGACGCCCAAGGATTCGCTGCCCCACGCATTGGGTGGTGGCCGATTGTCGACGGGATTCGCCGGTTGGTTAACGGCGGGAGAGGCTCCATGAAAGTCGTAGGTCATCAAGTTGATCCAGTCAACATTTTCTTTTAACGTCTTCAGATCATATTCAGCAAGGTTCAATTGAGTTGGGGGAGCCGTGACAGTAATGATCAGTTTGAGATTGCTGCGGTCAAAAGCCTGACGGAGTTCCTTGAGAAATTGCACAAAGTTTGCGGGGTCAGAATCCCTACCACCCCGCGCCGGGCCTGGATACTCCCAGTCCTATTAATTCCAAGACGCAGAAGAAAGGGGCACTGTTAAGACAGTAGAGAGTGATGAGCATTGACGACAGGACGAATCAACGTACAAAGTCAATTCCGTCGAATCCACGTCCAGGGATTGTCCGCACAATATCGCCAATGAGCGTGGCTCGATTGGCCGGAGACGAGACCATGTCGGAAAATCGTGTTTCCGTCCCAGATCCTGGATTATTGAAGGCCCATCCACCAATTGACCACAAGGTCTTCAAGTTCCCGTTCGAACTCTTGAGTCCATTGAACCTCTTGATGAGATCGTCATCCTCGTTTCGAGTGGTGGTAAGCTTGAAGTCAACGGATATCGCACCGAATGCCTAAATGTGGAAGACGAGTCTGTCAGAGAGAGACTCACACAGATCTGATTATGCTCTGTGGAATCCACATCAATAAGTAACCTTACATAGTTCAGATGAGTAAAACCGGTCGGTCGGAGGTCTTCCGGGGCCATCGCTTTCAACGTCCCTTTGCAGTTGGGCAGGTTTTCCCCTCGTCCGTACGCCGTATTGCTATAGTACCCGACAACAATGGTCAAAGGAGGTGACGCACATGTTCCAGGGCCAGGGAAATCGTCCAAGCTGTTACAGTTGGACTGACACCCGTCACCGCATTCTGTCTCTGTGACTCCACAGGTCCCGAATGAAGAGCAGCATGCATTGTTGGGACACTCCTTTCCATTTGCTTCCTTCCCGCACTCGGCCGCTGGACAGAATGTTATATGGTAATCGGCGTTTCGGCAATTGAACGTCGAGGAAAAGTCGTCAAACTGCCACGAATAAGCAACTGAAGATTACAATGATTTGTCAAAAAGTATGAATACAGGTAAAGGAAGGCAGACGATGTTCCCAAGAACATCCAGAATGGCCACCCAAAGTGCACGAGGAACTCACGCGGACACCTGTCTTTGAAGACTTTGTCGTATCGGGTAGGCCATGGGCCGGGCTCCTTGACAGAAGGCCAGTCCTCCACATAGCATCGCTTCCCCTCGGCCTCAGGACGCTTATCGACCTTTGCGTAGCAGTGGTTGTAAGTTCCTGTTGGGTCACAGGTGCATCCAACAAGCGACCTCTTGACTTGATCGTCAAAGAGGGGCTTCAAAGGGTCAGGATGCAACGTCCTCTGGACGAGGTCTTCCACAGCGTTATGGATACTCCCGCATGCCACGATTCTTTTCCCGTCACTACTCATAAAGGCCAACTCGGGGGGACAGTATTTGGAAATGTCCATCCTGCACGCCGCGTTTCCGCAGTCAAATTTGGGCTCAACCATATCGGGATCGTTGATTTTATCACCTCCCACAACTGCGACAGCGATTCCAATGTTGTGACCATCTACTTGAGACAAGTCGTAGTAATCAAGGTTTTTGTACCCGTGCAAAGTAAATTCGACGATGGTGTATGGCGGCACTCCTCCATTGCCCTTGCATTGCACGCCGTAGCCGTTTTCTTTGATGCCGCACGTGCCTGTTTCACAAAAGACTTTTCCATTGTTGATCTTGCAGCCCGTCCGCGGCCAGATCCGTCCGGATTCCCAATTATATGGAACGTGAACGGTTACAGTCGTACCCGGTCCCATTCCAAATCCTCCGTCGGCCGGGACAGGATCGCCGAATTTTCCCTGAAGAGCCGGCCACACTTTGTGCGGACATCTGTTGGTCATTGTAATCTTCTTCGTTTGGCCAGTAGGAGTTCCAATGTCCGTGATATCCGCGGGCAGTATCTCAGCATCGGCTTTGTGCGTAAAGATATGTGGATAAGTTAGTGACTTTGAGGGGAGAACCAGTCGGAAGGCGGAAGGAGGACGAAAGGTAACCCACAGACCAAACCCTTTCCCCTCCCATGAGACACTTACGATCGTTGGGGTTATACCCGGGGCCTTGAACCAACAAAGGTGTTCCATCTGGAGCGTTTACACAGTGATATTCGCCCAAAGCCGGGTCGAAACAGTCCTCTCCACAAGTGATGAGACCTGCAGCGCATCTCTTTGACAAGTGCACTTTGTTCTTTGTTTTGTTGTAGTTCGTGCTAGACGGTGACCCAGTGGTCCCGCCCACCACCAGCAACAGAGCCAGGGATACTGCCAGGATGCGCATCGTAGGCAGCAACCGGAATGGCCCAAGCACTAGGGAATTGGGAAGAACAGCGTCCTGCAAGCAACTGCTTTCCAATCATGTGACTGAAGCACGAAGGCAAGCCAAGCCATGATTCTAAAAAACTTTTTTTATGGATGAATTCCATTCCGCCCGAGTCCGTGGGACAAATCCCCCCGATCAAAACTTTTTCTCCACGATTTAGTTCTTGTTGTAGGCGCAGATCTGCATCCAATCATGTGAAATGCTTCCCCGCCGAGCGTGTTGAGCAGCGTGTTTGTCTTCCGGGATATTCCCTCGCATTGTCGCCTGGAGCTTCTCGCTCTCAGTGCCACGAGCAACAGCTGTCCATCTTTCTGTCGCTGCTCCATGCTTTTTTTCACAGCACGGCAGGCCGCCGCCGTCCTCGTAGCTTTCGTATTGGCGGCAGCAAATGACGTTTCCATCGCTGCTATCCCGTCTTCCTTTGCCCTCTTTACTCCGAATGATCTCGCCGCGTTCAAGGTTCCCACGCCTGCTTGCGCTGCCGCCCTGGGAATGCAGCTGCAGTGCAGCCGCGCGGCTGTTTTTGGAAACCTCTCCTCATTGAATCAAGACGCAGAACGCGCGGCTTTCTGCGATCCCAAGGGCGCTTGTCAGCAGTCCTTACAGGCCCTTAACCTTCAGGTCCAGAAGGACTGTCCCATGGATTTTATGCTGGGTCCTACTGCCAACATTGCTTATATCCTCCGCCATCTCGTTCTTTCGTCTGCACTCCCCTGTGCAAATGACGCTGCGTCCGGTGCAAATTGTGTCAAGCAGGTCAAAGATGTCTTGTCGAAAATCGATCCAAAGGCTAACATTTTCGATGTACTGGACAAAAAGTTTGCTTGTGGTTGCTTCCTCGCCGCAACCCTGTTGAGGAAACCGGTCGATGCCAATGCCCAGCAGATGTTATACATTTTGAGGTATGGCAACCTCTTACATGTAGTTTGTTGTGGTTCATGGCTTATTTACTACTTTCTAACTACCCACTTTACGTATTACAGAACTCGGATTTGCGGCGAAAATTCCGTTCAAGATGCAGTTGAAACCATCCTCCTGCCCACAATCCCCAACCTGCCCTATGTTCCTCCTCTGCAACCGGCAAACTCCTCGATGACCTTTGATGCTTACGCTGCATCGCCTCAAGCCGAACAATGCGGGCCTGCGGCAGCCACCCCGTTATGTCCGAATGGTCAATGCTGCAGCTTGAAAGGACTTTGCGGCTCAGGTCCCGACTTTTGCGGTCCTGACAACTGCCGCTACGGATATGGACCTTGTACACACAGGACTGTCGACCCAAAAGCTAGTAAGTAACTTTTATGTGTTATCACTCAATATACTTGCTTTCTTTTTTCTCGAACTTTGAACGTAAATCTCACAATTGCGCCAATTTTAGTATGTGGCGCTACTTCTGCCAACTTTGCTGTTTGTCCAACCGGCTGCTGCAACGGACAGGGCCTTTGTGGATTGGGCTTTGCTGATTGCATGCTAGCGGATCCACAAAAGCCTTCCCAAAATGGCGCACCCACGGGATGTCAGATAGGCTTTGGACCAGGCCAATGTACTCAATTTTTCAACCAGAATCATCGTAAGCATTTGCCTGCCAACCTGTTCGTTAGGCTTTGAAAACACCATAGAATCATGTTGCTAATTACTTTTGTTTTAGAATGTGGTCCTTACGCGACTGCGGAAAATAGGAGATGTCCCAAAGGAACGTGCTGTGATACATCTATTGGCCAATGCGGGACTTTCCGCAGTTTTTGTGATCGCACCACATGTAATCCAATTTACGGAGATTGTGGCCCCCAGACATTTGACAAGACCGCAGGTATCTTCTCAGATGATCCGATTGCTCGTCGCGCATTACCTATGCTAAATACGGTACCATTTCAGTCTGCGGCTTCACAAGTGTAAATCAGACTTCCTGTGGGCCAACCGCCTGCTGTGGTAAGGCAGGTCAGTGCGCCGCGTCGTCCGAATACTGTAGTCCTTCCCAGTGTCAGGAAGGTTTTGGCGCCTGCGGGTGGCCCTTGGACATCAAGTGTTCCGCAGCCACTATGATGTCGCAAGACGGGGTGAATTATATTGGAAACTGGACTGCAACCCCAGCTAACGCAAGTGCTACGATACCCTGTGCAAATGGTAATGCGAACGGCAATGTTACCGCTGAGTGTCTATCGAACGGCTTGTGGGGAAAGGTGGTATCCACATGCAATCCTCCGATCGTTGTCTGCCCGACAGCGGCAGGATGGACGAGTAAACTGGCTGGACAGGTAACGTATCTAAACTATTCCTCGTGATACTGTTTATCAGATCCACTGTACAAAGTTGTCAATTATGGCTATTTCTCATATGCTTTGGTCTAAAATTACACACAGAACGCAACTCAATCTTGCTCAAACGGTTTTGCCGGTAACATGACGGCTCGGTGTAATCCAGATGGTATATGGGCTACCCCCGACACCTCCCAGTGCTATCGCATAGGATGCCCGGCATTTGACGTGTTTCCCGCAACGCCTTTCAATGGAATCGCAAGTGCTCCATGTCCCGTTCTCTTCAGTGGCAATCAAACGGCACGCTGCCTTCCAAGTGGCAAATGGACTACCGTCGATACGTCGCAGTGTGTTTGGAGCAAGGAGTCGACTTGCGTCTCGGATGTGTTCCCGCGCACGCCACTGGGACAGAACGCCACGGGCCCCTGTCCTTCGCCTTTGGTAGGAAATCAAACGGCTCTTTGTGGGCCGGCAGGTATCTGGGCTCCTGCGGATACCCAAAAATGCATCACACCGACGAATACTCTGTCGACTACAAGAACCGCTATACACTTGACCACTGTGCCCCCTCAGGTTACGGTGCCACCTGTTCCTTCTCCCCGTCCCACTTGATTGCAAAGTGCGCGGCCACTATGCCTGTTTATGTTGGAACTAATCAAATGTACCCTCTTTCTTTTATGACGAATGCCATAACCTCAAAATTCTTCTAAGTAGCAGACGCATCTCAGAGTTTGCAAATGGCCAATGTAATAATCTGTAGACTTGATATACTAGATAGACGTTTTTATAGAACCAGCTTTGATCGTAAAGAAATAAGAATGAAGAAGGTGCGCGGCTTTGAAGATCACGTGGAAAGATCCCTGAGAATAACCAAGCGTTTTGTTTCCCATGGAGCCACGTGTGTGGAATATTACTTGAGAATTTAAGCCACGGAAGAATGGACGAGTTCGATAATTCAGGGACACGGGGAACCAGGATTCAGGGAAATGAAAGCAACAAATTTACCAAAAATTTGTCTTGCGGACTCGATCGCCAAGCCGGAAAGCCGCTTTGTTTATGTTGGGCTTTGTGGCTTGCTTTTTTCTCCCCGCATGCTTCTTCTCTTTTACATTTCCATTTCAAATCCTTCCAAAGTTTGCAAAAGGAAAGATCTCACTTGTACCACAAGCCTTTTTTGCATTGCATGCACTCCACGAATAATGACGCTTGCACTGCAGTGCCATTTTGCCGGGGATTAACGATGGCCTTATGGAGGGGAATGCTCATACAAGCAAGGATTAGCAAAGGGCTGCTCATTGTGCAAACTGACACTGTCACGTCCTCATAGTCTCTGCGACAGCGACAAGGATGTGTCGCATGCGGATGAGGGCAATGAACTCAACACCGCGACTAGTGCTTCTGCTGCTGTTGGGCCTTTTCAGCAGCGGCGCCATCCTGCAATCAACAGCCCAGCAGCCTGTGTATGATCTTTCGGACCATCTCGTCAACCATTTGGCCAATCGTGCCATCACACGTCACAGGCATAAATCCGGAAGAGACAATTACTTGAGGGTCTTGCAAGCGTACGATGGCAACGGCGATGGCTCATTGGATCGAGAGGAGATTTTGGCTATGATAAATTCCATCGACAAAAGTGTCGGCAAAAAAGCCGACAATGAAGAAGTGCCCAAGTTTGTGCATATCAAGCGTGCGGTGGGCCTTCACGACTTTGCTGACGAAGACTTGGTGGAGCAGATCATGGTTCATGTTGGCAACACTGGGACCCTGCGACACGAGACTCTTAGTAGTATGGCCGCAGACGCCAAGCTGCGAGACGAGAACAACGACGTGTACGGTGCCACTTGCGATCTGATCGACCGAAAGGTTCAAGAACTGGGTCCTTCCAGCTGTGATTTGGAGCTTCGAGCCGCTTTGAGCATTTGCATGAAACACGCCAGCATCTTGAGTTCCCTGGAATGTCTTTCCACCGCGAAGGCCCAAGATCTTTGCAGTTGTTTCGATACCAGCCAATTTACCAAGCGCGATTTCATGCCCATCGAGATGAGTACGGTCATCGCCGCCCATACGCACGAGCTAATTGCGCGTGCCGACTCATTTGAAATGACAAACTGGCCCTATGAACTCCTCGACGGCCCCTCTCGAAGCAGGTTGACGCCAGCAAGAATGCCTAAACTTCAGAGAATAGGCCTTGCCGTCCTAAAAGCGGTGATCAGGGGCGGCGCCAGGATAGTCTTTACTGCGTTGCGGATCGGTGGTGTCGTCCTTGGTCCCGTTGGTATTCCAATTGCTGCTGTGGAAATATTTGGTAGGTCTTGCTGTTCCTTTTTGATATTATTCGTGTATAGAACATTTCATCGCACTGCGACAGAATTTTGCGTCTTATCTCCTGCCATTTTTATGTTCACCGTTATCCTGATTGATAGTCGAGGTTTTGACCGTGCTTCTCAGTATCATTTTAACGGCGCTGCATATCAACTATTTTTCCTGCGACATCACTTCCGGTCGGTGCATTAACCCTGCTTCTACACATCTTCATTATTCGACTTGGTTAGCTTTGTTCTCACCTTGGCGGGCACTGTTACTTGGTTTGTAGAGGATTTCAGACATCCGATTGAAACACTTCGATCAACGGGTATAGGAAAAGAATGATGTTATGCTGTCTTGCTTGATTGCATTTCTTATCATAGAACTTGGTCCGTCAGGGGATCTGCTGCCAGTGGATTTTGTTGTCTGGTCCACCGATCAACCAGCTCCTAAATGCTCCTTATTACTGTACTGGTCCGATTCGTGCGGCTTTCAATCAACTGGGGCTAGTCATACCTGCTCACACGACGGTCGCCGAGTTCGTGAGTTTCCATGCTCCGCTTAGCGTACGCAGACAGATTTGTTTATCCAGTTTTTTCAGATGGCAATTCATGCGTCGACATTGGTCGTGATGGGAGTTGCGGTTGTGGGGATTTTCCACTTCTTTGGTGTTCATCGCTGTGCTGGAAAGTTACTGAAGGATGCTGTTGTGAGGCATTAAAGTTCCGGGACCCGGTTCCCGGAAGTTTAGCGGCAGCTTCTTCCTTTGAGGAACCTCTTGGGTCCGTGTCGGATTGCGCCAAACTTTGCGTCCACTCACCGGGTTGCTCGGCATTTTCGGTAATGCCCAATGAGGACGATGCCAACAAGGCCGTTTGCCGCATTTCTACGACAGATTCGGTTGCCATCGAGCGAAATGACGCTGCAACTACGTTTTATAGCAAGGGTAATGACATTGTTTTCACGCTTCCCACCTGGCCCACCTCTTCCGAGCTCATATCGCTCTTTCTCCATAGGTGCTTCGGATGAGTTTGCCGGCGGTATGTAGGTGGTATTAGATCAAGGGTCATTAGGACATTGTTGAAACTGATCTTTTCGTTATGTAGGTGTTACATTCCGTGACATTGTTCAAACTTTGAAAGTGATGTATAATTCGGATACGTGCGATACAGGCGGCCGCTGGGACGCTGCAATTAAACAAGTAGGCCTGGCGCTGATGGTTATGGGGAACTGTTTGCGGCGCGTGGTGGATGTATTCCCTCAGCTTATTAACAGCATGATATCCGATTACACCAACGTCGGAGACTTTGATACTGCCGTTGTCAAATTGAGAAAGTACCTGGCAGCAGGTTTAACAGGTACAAGACGTTTTGCTTGATGATTATATTGAAAATGTGGTGATAGGCTCATGCATGCAATCAAAACCAGCCCAGCGCGAGGTTGTGCGGGGTTGCGCATATCTGGACAATCCTGAAGGTCTTGCAGCCTTTGCTGCTATGAACATATACACTGCCTCTCGCGGGATCAATATGGTCCCGGTGGCTGAAGACCTTTTGGGTCGGGCGACTGCGACAGGCCTTAACCCTAGCAATGGCTATTGGAACGGTAATCCTTCAACAGGAGTAAATGAGCAGAATCAAATTCGTAAGTTAGAGACCATGGTAGCCCCTACTTTCGAAACTTTTTTTCTTTGCAGTCCTGATGCGTCAAACACGCAGTCACGACCAGAGGCAGACGATCTCGCTCAGACTTTGAAGATGATGACCCGGTAGACCCCGACAATCCGGATGACCCACCTGAAGACGGCCCCGATCCGCCAGAGGACCCAGGTGAAGATGATCCCGACAAGGATTACGAGGACGCTGACAAGGATCCAAACGGAGAACCGTTTCTGAAGAGGTTTCGTGGGTTGTTGTGCGTTAGGGTGACAGTCACTGTCACTAGAAGACCAGTGCCTCAAGAGGTTGAGTGGATCAACCTGTATGTCGTCAATGATGGACAAGCTGATTCCATGGTCCAAGAACATGTCCGATATGAATGTCAGAACCTGATGCAAAATGGGGTGCCAGTCGTATGGAGCAGTACTAATGTCAAAGCCTATCCCAACGCGTGCACGCTGAAGGAAAGGTCAGTTACCACAACCTTTTTTGAGCAGTTGTGTAGTTCTCCGTCTCATAGAAAGTATTGTCATCGCTTCTTGCTCTGATTTAGACGTCGCATTTGGGTAGACGGAGGTAAAACACACACGAGATCAACTGAGGTCTTCAAGCAACAGCTTGGACCTATCGTTATTGATGGTACCGAAAAGGACTACTATTTCGATGAGGTACGGTGGGGATGGGATGGTCCCATTTGCGGCTTGCCATGAATTCTCTCAATTTTACATACGATTGACCCCATACGTTGCAGATTATGGTTACGCACAATGACGAAGGTAACGTAGTCTTCTGAGTTTGGGAGCAACCGCACAAATTGCTCAAGATATGTCTCAGATCACTTTGCGTCGTTTTTGAAAGTACTCAGATCTGGCGGTGACAATCTCGGACCTAGGGGACGTTGGGTCCCTCTTCAAGGTAGGGTCCTGAAAAGGATAGCGACCTCCACAGTCTGCTGAATGAATCTGTTATTGTTCGGCCTTTAGCTCCAATGACCTGGAATAACCCCATGGATATATCAACGAGAACCATCGTCAGTGCGACCGAGCATGTAAGTAGAATGGACGCTGATTCTAGAATGGTTAGCTTCCCGACTCTAAGCCATCATCATCCGACAGAACGATTACACAAAGGCTGTAAATTTCCTTGCCCACTCCGTAGTTCCGCTCATTGGTCCCAAAGCAAAGACTTTTCGACTACCTGACACAAAGAAAAAATGGAGGGATATCATTACTGCTGCCGGTCTCACGCCTCCGAACGAGCCGTGGGTGGACAGCATGGCATTGGTCAATCCTGACTCTGCAGGAAAGCAAGGCCATGCCTTCACATCCATTTTGTTTGAGCTGTGGCAACGCTCCAGCGACAATGGTTTACAAGTTTCACCTGGTTATGTCGGCGGTCGACCTCCTGGTCAAAGTTTTAGATTGGCAGTTTCCGGAAGTACCGATGTCTTGTGGCCGCCGACCCGTCAGCTTACCGACATATATGGGAGGCGGTCTTTCGGAGGCACTAGACCTGATAGGGTCACGACTCAAGAGCCCCTTGTGACAAGATCCTTCTCAAGTTATGTTGCAGATGAACAATGCATGCCGGCAGAAAATGCCCCCCTAGGAATTGCACCCGTATGTTCAAGCAGCCCATTTGTCGCTCTTGATGAGAGAGAGCTCCCGGATAGCAAACTCGACGTGGCACCTCTAAAAAATTGTGAGAGGCTGAAGTTTGTGCCTCGGGGTCAATGGAGCTATTCTTACTATTTGCATTTTATTTTTAACGGTCAGATATCAGCATTGTCACCCAGCCTCATCTTGGAGCTGTGAAACTGCTTCTGACAGGTGATGTGATTGCCCAAAGTTTCGCAAGGTTTACAACCGGGAGAGATTCGCACTTGGTGAAGGTTGCTCACCACGGCAGTAAAAACACCGGCAGTAGAGCTGATGTTTCTGGTTTTACAAACGGTAGGTTGAACCTTGTCGGACGCTTTTGACTACTACCGCCTGATGCAATACTAATCTGCATGAGTAGCCGATGTTTTTGTGATCACTGGCAAATGGAGAGGCGGTAGGGTTGACGGGGACCATCCCTACGCGGTCAAATTCATTCTCTGGATTATCCAGGAGCACTTCAAAGTGAGAGCCGACAATACTTTACGCATATACGTTCTTGGTAAGATACCGTGAATATTAGTTATACTCGTGGCGCCTTCTCAAAGGATCTTACATACAACGTCCGGCATTACAAGATGCTCCTTCGGACTCCAACATCCCCAACACGGCTTTCAGAAGATTCAAAGATCCAACATTTCGCCCGGCAGACTGCAACTTTGAGATCTGGCGGACGAATTCAAAAAAGGCAGGCTTTTTCAAGTTCTCCACAAAGTCCACCGCTGACGACTCTGGTTCTCCCATCGACAAAGTCGTCGATGGCGCCGTACTCATGGATTTTGGTTCAAAGCCTGCCAAAGGCAATTGCAATCTGTCATGGGATAGCACCGACAATTTTTAGACTGGGTCTTTATATTGACACGCAGAATCTCATCAATTATGAGAGAACGCCAATACCTTATATTAGATAGTGTGCGTAGAGTATAACCATAGATTTAGACGTAGTAGAAAAGCATATAGCGCATCTGTGTATATTTTCACCATACATCATTAGTTCTACTCAGGCACAGGCACTGATTATCTGACTGTGAAGTCACGAAGTCACGAATATGCCCTGCTCTAGTGTCTGTACCAATAAATCTTCTGTGAATCTCTTTAAACAGCAAATATATCTTCGATTGCATTAAAGACATATACAGAGAAAGTGGTGATGAAACTATTGGGAGAACGCCAATGACAGTTCCCAGATTCAAGATCAATCCTTTTCAAACCTATGGGGTCACCAATAGTTGCTGCGCTGAATAGAAGAAAATAGATTTAAACTAGACTTTGAATGTTGCGGTATCGATCCTAAGCTAGAAGCGTTCTGGACGGTGGGGGACCCTATACTACAAATTTATCTTCGACTGAATCCAAATGGAAACCCCTCGGTGTGATCGCGAAGGAAGTTCTGTGTATGCTGAAGCAGGAATATCTACAAGCAGCTCCTTAGGGCGACTCTAGAGGACAAGTATTATGTTTCATGATTTTAACTAAGAGGCTGATCACACCCGATTCCTTAAAGTCCCAAATTTTGGGTTCTTCCAGGATTATGTGGCTAGTTACATGGTGATTGTACGCATATATCGCATAATTATACATCCACTTTTTTTCTGAATTCTGATGTGCGTATGTTATGCCAGCACCTATAGCAACATCTATGGGCGTCCACCGACAGTGTTCTGTGCTTATTACTCTAGGATGTTTGGCAATGTTGACAACCCTGTGCTCAATGCCCGCTTCATCAACATCAACTCATTGCGTAACGACTGATCGCTTCACAGGTGGTACCGGCAGGATATGGGCACTTGCAGCATATTGCAGATTAGCTCCTCACCCGCCATCAATCAACACTGGTATCCATCCCTATCTTTTGATAGCCATTCGTATAATGTTCAACGGAGTCATTCCGGTTGCATTGAGGATAGGGATGTTCTTGCCATCCAAGATACGACATGTAATCAGTTGACGATAGATGCGCTCGATGACTGGGGAATCGCCCCTGTGCTGATATCGTTCGTTCTAGGCCCGTAGTTAAACCTTTCTTGGCCGGTAGCATTTTTATCTCGCGCGGAGAGAGTCTTTATCTGATATTGTCCAAAAATTGAGAGGCAAAGTTAGACAATATCTGCAAGACAGTGCCTTGGGAGAAACTTTTAGTCTTTTTGGCTCTTTGTGAACGTTGGGATATTGCCGGTAATGTGCCATCGGCCAGCGGTTTAGGAACATTTTGTTGGGTTACTGTCCATATTTGCAAATATCTTGCTCAGTTGCGTTCATGTCTGACATTTTCCTTTAGGAGTAAACACCGCACTCGCATTCGCTGACTCAAACTTATGTCGTTATGCTTCGTTAACGGGTAATAATGAGTTTATTAAATGTGCGATCTTTCTCATCATCAACGGTAGATCAGTGATCATCCCCAAATTGATTCACCTTCCCGTCGGCAGCACCAGCAGTATTTCATACCTCCAACGGTGAGGGAAACCTCGCCGTTTCACGCCGCTGGCTGCTAACACGTCCCTCTTTTCCTCCCGCACGTCTCCCCGTTTCTCAGTATAGCAGCAGTGCGGGAAACTCCCAGTTTATTCAAAGAGCGACATGTTATCAATTGGAATTTTGAGGAGTTTTCCTCAAGGACCATGCTCACTAACATGGGGACGCATCGATGGTCGCCACGGCCCCGCGGCCTGCTAACCAGACTGCCTCGGCTCCTGTCGGTCATCTGGAGGTGTCAAATCCCATGGCCATCATCGGTCGCGACCCAAACGATATCCTGGCGTACTATCAAGCCCCCAGACGCTGGCAGAAAAAAAACAGAGTTCTCGACCTGACACTCCACCCACTTTTGCCACCTCTCCCTTCAACCCTCAACCATTACGTGGTGTCCAAAGACAAACGAAGACCGCAGAGGAATCCTGCCAGCCAAGATGGACTCCCCAAAGCAGGACTCCACCTACTCTCTCCCCCTTTCCCGCACGGCTACACCCAAGGGTCACCAGAAGCTCAGGATATCTTCAGATGCTACCCTCGGGGTAACCCTCTCGCTCCCGACACGTTATCACGTCGCGATCATCCCTGGAGAACAAACGCAGAACTATGGATCATTTGTCGTATCGGTACACTATAATGCCAGCGGACCAGACGGGCCCTCACTTCCGCAATTCAATGTCTTTCTCTCTGACGCTGCGCTTGCAAAGAGTGGTTCGCATTCGCCCACGGCATACATCTGGCGAGGAATAGGGAGCCAGTAATTGATGCAGGGCAAAAAAGATAAGATCATGACCGCGAGCGGCAAAGCCCTTCGGGTCTGTTGGCTATCCGCCGTCGACATGTGGCAAGAAAAAAAACCTTCATATGCCATTTGTAGTTGCTGAAAGTGTTGGGTTGCCATGTCCACTTGCGAGAATTAAGTGAAAAGAAAAGAAAGCGTGATCGGCCAGGTTCTCCCTCAAGACCCGTGGTTTGACCGGCCCTGCTTGTATTTAGGGTTTATCTATAGTAGCCTAAGCACTACACCGTAATTCGCTGATTCGAAGCATTGGTGCAGAGGCATCTACCATTGTTAAGCACGAGTAGGATTAAGCTCCTTTTATGATGCTGCAAAGTTATCACGGAAGGATACGTCCGGATACTGTGGAGCATTAGCAAACCATTCCACGAACACCGAACGCTAGTTAGGGTTAGGTATATCTAAGTTTGGTGACCTAAGTTTGTAATTTTCAGGCCAATGAGCACTACGGCTGGAAAGTGATGCAAAGACGAGCCGGTCACCTCATTCTGGCTGGAATGACAGGCTTTTCGGACCGGTCAATCTGCAGGTGGGCCAACACAAAAAGGATGGCCAGGGTCTTACGTGGGAAGAAGACGACGGTATGCAACCCGTTTCACACTGACGAAATCCACAAGATGTAGCTCATTGCCCTCCTGATTCAGGTTGTGCACACCATTCAACCCGAAAAGTGACCCAAAAGCGACCATACATTCTTTGCAACCATTGTGCCTGTTGCGAGCGAGCAAGTATTTATTCCACGGATAAGGGTAAACTGCATGCGTCTAATGGCAGGCAAAACTATCTAGTGCTGCTAGTCGGTACATAATCGTCCTAACTAAAATCGCTGAGAATAGGTCTCCTTGGACGACTCCTTGGCGCACATGCGTCAAATTCTTTGATGGCGGCTCCGTCATTCTTCAATCCTAGACGTGCAAAGAACACTTCCAGCATACTCTTTATGCCGTTCACGGCACCTGGTCTGCCAATATCGTCATTCAAACATATTATTGCGGTTGGATTTTCCGCCAGAAGTTCCATAGATCTCCATGTCGCGCAGTCGTCGTTTTCGAGCTTCAGGAAGGACAGAGATAGTGAGGTAAGCGAATATTTGTATTTTGAGACTTCAGCTAGCGGATTTGAGCTGACGTTGCGCTTGGTGTTTTGCACGAGGTACGAGTCGATTCCAGCGTCGCCCGAAGCTCGGGCCATGGTATTCAGGAGGCAGTCTCCGCAAGCAATGTGTTCGCGGCCAATGTGGCGCAAAATCGCTTGAGCTGATCTCACTGACGGAAGGCAAACGTTAAGCGAAAAGCTGCATTTGCGGAGGGAAGGTGGGGTGCCATCAGTGTATGTCCATGCATTCCCTGCCTCTGGCTGGACTGTCATGTGGGGGTAGCCATTCCTCGAGTCCCATGTCCTCCGATTTTCCCGCACAGGAATTCCGTTCCCGTTCACCAAGTCTGCGTCCCAGGACAATTTTTGCAATGCTTCCACTTCCTGATCATCCACAACACCATCTCCGTTCTCATCTAGCACGTTATTTACAAAGTATTTCAACACACTCTCGCGATGCATTTCCAGGACATAGTGCACGGCCATGAAAGGAGTGTGTACGTCGTGACCGATGCCGCGAAACCTGTGATGAGACGTCTGTCGGAAGGCTGAGGGGAAATCTGAGGCCAGTTCTTGTAATAGAGGGGTCGCAAAGGCTTTAACGCTGTGAGCGACATAACCCCGTCGTCGTTTGCCAAATCTTTGACCTGGAGTAAAATGATACAGTTAGGCTTGAGAGCAGAACAGCCAAGATTCCATTACAATACTCACTGAGTAAATAGTTGGACCAGTCAAGAGCGGGCCACTCTCCTTGAGAAGATTCAATGCGAGGCGGCCGGTCAAAGGCGCTGACCTGCAGATCAGATTGAATGGCGAAAGCAAATCCGGACTCGGGAGAGTAAAAGTCTGATGATTGGAGTGCCTGCCCGACGGTAATATCGTCATTAAAGTATAACATGATCTGTTGCGAGAGTACTGTTCAGCAATGGGATCAGCGGACGGTACAGTGGAGCAGGTCACACTCACATCCTCATCGAGCCCTGGCAAATTCCCCAATTGGCTCTCAATGGCCAGACTATTGAATGTCGGCAGCGACCCTTGAGCGTTTGCAAAAAACTCGTCATGATGAATTACTCGTACGGGAGGTACTGGTTCACTTTCAGAGGACACCTCTGCAAACCATATTGGAACCTGTCCACGATCGGATCCATATTCCACGTTCCGATAATCGCTCGTTAAGATGAGAATTTCCTTGATCCAGCTGGCAAACTTTTGCAGACTTCTCACGGTGTACCTCAATTCACCGAGATCTCTGAACCGATTTACCATGTTGACATGTGGTGCCTCCCGTGCGTATATTGAGCGCATCTGCTGGTGAAGCGGGTCGCTACCATTGACCCACGTAATGACGGCAGTAAACCTTTTCGGCCCAGCTGGCGCAAACTCACGCTGCTGAGGGATACTGTCCGTAGGATTTGCAGCTTGTCTGTACTGCGAATTTCTCGTAGCAAGTTGGGTGTTGAAGAGAGGATACAGTCCACAGCGGGGAATGGCGTACGTGTTGATAAGGACCAGCAAGAGAGCGAGCGTTCTCCATACCGGCAAGCGCATATGATATCGGTGAGATGCAGGATTTTTGCGATACGCAACAGTTTTGGATACTGTTGGGAGCAGTGGAGATACTTGCTTCTCCATACTTGTGATATGAAACCAAGGGAAGAATGCTTGCGTTCCCTTGTATTTTTATATTCCAACTGCAGGAGTCAAAGACTGTTTCTATGCAGAACAAACACCAAATGATAAATAATGTTTCCCCAAGGATAATTCCTGTTGTCGCCCGATCATATTTTATGTAATTTGATGTAATTTGAGGGCATCTCCTCACAACCTATGGCTAATAACAAATAGTAGGAATATTCTTTTTTCTAAATAACAGTATTGAATATCCACGTGATTTCTTATTTGGAATATTTTCTTTCTGCATGGAATATGCATTTGTACTATTCCAGAATGATGATTGGTACACACATTTCCTTTATCCTTTTGAAGAGCAAAATACTTGTGCTGATTGGTATGATTCATCACCCCAAGGCAACCGAGGGTGACAGTGTTTACATTGTTGATGGCAAAATTGAAGTAAGCTACTTTTTCAAAAAGTCACATTTGGGTGAGAGGCAGAGACAGCGAGGAGTCGAGAGTAAGAGATATATTTCTTGCCAGAACTTCCCCAATCATCACAAATGTTGCAACGTTTGACTGCAATGATATGAGCATTCCAGTGGATGGTCGCTAAAAAAACCTCCATGGAGGGCAAGAGCATAAAAGTGCTAGGGTTTTCAAGAAAAACTGAAAATCAAAAGAGATGCTGGTAGCTCGTGCAAGGAATGCAGTAGACAACAATAAGTTTGCCCCAGCAGCAGTACGCAAGAAACCGTACACGGCCAATGGGATAGGCACACACCAGAGCTACAAAAATGCTAATTCCAAACCGCCATCATCGGCATTAAAAAGCAATTGCGTTCAGAGTCTCCTTTTGAGAGCGTCCTGAAAACCCGCAGGTGGCACAGTCCATCACAGGCCACATTCATCACGATGTGCTTAGGCCATTTGATGATGAGTACTCGTAAAGACCGCTTTTTTGTTGTTTCCCACACGCCAAAAACAACGTTCAACGCTTGGCACTTTGCCGTCCCCGAGCTGCCATCAGTCTCCAAGAGCTTCTTGTTCCAGCATCTGTCGCTTGGCCTCTGTGTACAGTTGTTCTGTTGCCTGCATCTGTCACTAGCTTGGAACTGTCAAAACCACCTATCGCAAAATTACTCCTAGACCTGTCCTTCAGGCCCATCAGAGCCCCATTTCCAGGCAGATAAACTGACCGAGAGCATCTGGCTCTGGCCTGCGGTGAAGGGAGAATGTTCCGACAACATCAGCAGGGTTCTCGCCGAGCTGCGTCGCAAAAGGCACGCCCCATGCTGCAAGCCACCACTTTCAGCGACCTTCCTGAAGAGCTTCTTGAAGCTATATTTTCGTTTGTGTATGACCCATCCCGGCTGATAAAAGTAAACAGCACGCTACGGACGGTGGGAAGAAAATGCTGGGTGCGATGTAGCTGGTTGGTTAGAAAGTATGGAAAGCTCAACGCTTTCCAAGGCGCCTTAAGATGGACAAAATTACTGGACCCAGACACTTTTGAATTACTGCTCAAGATTGTTCCACCAGTTCCAAGGTTTGTTGCAGAAAAACAACCAGTGCTATTTGAACTACCTTAGACAGAGTTCAATTTTGCAGATACATCATTCAACGAGGCGTCACTCGGTTCCAGCATATCAACAAACTTAGCCTGCTCATTCCACTGCTTCAATACGGCGAAATGCTATATGGAGATTTGTCCCTGGCGAAGAACGATGGGCAATATTTTAAAGAGATTATTCCCTGGACTGTCCACGCCCACTCGAATTCGTTGATGACGGCAGCCAGGATGGAGGCGTTGGAAGTTCTCGTTAAGAAATATCGCTTTGATGTGAATTTCTGCAAATGGAGCATGGTAACCGGGTTACCTTTGTTGAAAACAAATGAAGGTAGGCAGACTTTTTCGTGCAAATGATCTGTAGAACGTCGCCATAACCAATTATCACTGAGCAGGATTTCGTACCTTTTTGACGGCTGTTAGTTCTGGAAATAAGGCTCTTGTCAAAGTACTCCTTCGCTACAACATTGCTACACATATCGAGCGCTTTCCCAGCGGAAGTCCCGCAACAGAGAGGGCATACGATATGACCATGTTTCCGCTCTTTGAAGCAACGGCACAATGGGAAGAATCATTTTTCCCAAATGAAACTCGCATGTATATGACAAAAAGTACGTTCTAGCATATCACATGGTGGCGGTTCAATGTAGTAACATATTGCATCACACAGCGGTGGAGGCCTTGATTCTAGCAACCAAGCAAAGGCAAGAAGAAGTCATGGAATTATTACTGGAGCACGATCTGGAGCGGTGGAATACAGCTCAGGGGTTTGAAGTACTCAAGGTAAAGCCAAATTATTCTCCACCAATGTGTCCGACATTGATTAACCAGTCAGTTATAGGCCACACTTCAATTAGCGGTGGACGAGAACTACGTCGCCGGTGTTGACATGCTTACTCGATATATGGGCAACTACCAGCAGCCTACCAAGTCACCTGCCGCTCTGCGACGAGCCCTCATAGCTGCATGCGTGGAGAATGACCTTAAAGCTGTTAAAACATTGCTGAAAGAAGGTGCTCGGTTTGACATTGCTGCGGAGGAATCAGGCGGTCATGCTGGAGTGGATCCGTTGGTATGATGCGATCGTCGCATGTGATTCGTGGACCGAGAAATTGTTGACATTTTCGCCTTCTACAGAAACACCTTATTGCAACCGAGAAAGAGGCAATATTTCAGTACCTTATCCGAACAATGGACTTTACAGAAGAAAAGGTTGGCAATCTGGTCACTCGGTAGCTGCCCTTCAAATTTTCGCTAATTTTTGATCCATACGTTTAGTTGGCCGAACTACTTGTCTATGCTATTGATCAGCAATCCTTTCATATCGCCCGATATCTCCTTACTAACCGTCGCCAACGTCCAGTGATTACGGACAAAACCATCCGTCGTTGCATCGTACACTCGGGTACTACTCTTATCCAACCGATCCTCAAAGTCCTCTTAGCCCAGTCTCCAGACAAGCTTGTCCCAAACTTTAGCGCAGCATTACGTTTGGCCGAAAAGCGATATCAAGAACAACGCGATGGCGACACATTTGTGCGGGAATTAGTAAGATACAGAGACAAGGTTATGGAGAAAGCAGCGGCGAAGAAAGCGAAGGGAAAAGCAAAAGCGAAGGCAAGAGGTCCGAAGAGAGCAGACTACGTCAGTGCACTTTCGAATATGGGAATAGGGGCGTCTTCGTCAGAGGCGATCGCGAAACCAAAAGGACGATCCACAGCCACATCCAGAAGAGCCAGTGGTGCTCCGGAGCCATAGCTGAGCAGCTTTATGACCAACTTCTTTTCTTTGCGTTTGGCCTTGCATGCAAAGGTCGCACACTACTATCTATTATTAGTTCCTGATGTCGCCGCTTTATCACTGTATTTGTTAGACGTCCTTGATTCATTTACATACGTTATTTGCTAAAATGTAGATATCCCATGCTTTGTGTCAGTTTTTCGGTCTACCCATTTGTTTTGGTTCTTATATTTTCAGCTGGTAGTGCTCACATTTTAGACTCGACAACTTGTGATGTCACAGCGATCCGTTACTTTATGCCATACAATGGTGGGAGTATAGTTACAAAAGCATCATCAAGCCTGACGTACACCGTATGCTCTCGCAGAAATGACAGCGGGTTACGAACTAGGTTCACCCACTTCCTGTTCCGTTCGATCAAGCATGTCCACTTTCTCCGCCAACACTTTCATAAACTCGTGATCCGGTACGATACCCTGCCGTAACAACTGATCCACTGTTCTCTCCACCCGCTGCATTTTTTTTGAATTTCTCAAATCTCTTGTCAGAAAGTACAGCCTTGAACCGTACACGACGGTCAGTTCTGCTTCGCTTGAACGGCGGGCCAAAGAACCTGTACATACCTGTGCTCATCCGGTTCCATCATCCTGCATCCGTGCGAAATGCACAAGTCTTTGAGCTCTCCTTGAGGCCCCAACCCTCCCTCAAAGACTTTGAACCCTGTCATCTTTTCGAGATCATTTTTTCCCACTTGAAAGACTTTCAAAGGAGTATCTTCAGGGATAGGCCGATTGGGAATGACAAATGCGGCAAAATGATGGGTGTGGGTACTGGTATCAGTTGCAAGGATTGCTTTGAATAGATGAGAAGGAATGGCTATTTGGGTATCGCCGAGAACCGGGTAACATATTTGGTACTTTGGGAGTGGTCGGGGTGGCGCCGTTTCCGCGGGCAATGGACGTACCGTGAGAGAGCGCACAGGCTGTAATTGGTCTGTCGGCTCCATGGGAACATCATCTGGGTGCTGAACGGCGGCATGAAAGATCGTAGATGGAACGGGATTTATGAGCACGTCCTCCCCTGCAGGAAGAGGTAAAGCATCCAACGGAGGCGGCGGCGGCGTGAAGGCCCTTTGCATTCTTTTCGGTCGAGCGTGCGCAGCCATTGACGTTGAAGACGGAGACGCATTGCGAGCCCTATCAGTGGGATCTGGGATCGGCTCTGGAAGCCATAGCGGACCCGTCAAGGTATAGACATCGTCAAAGTAATTGGTCAGATCCCGGACATACAGTTCCAGACGGTTCCAGTACCAGCTTAAAGGTAGATGAGCAAAATAACACTCATGTAGAAGACACGAGCTGAGGAGCCGCTTACACGTTATTGTCATAGTCTTGAGGGACGATGTTGGCCGAAAGCAAAAAGCTTTCTTTCATTGCCTCGGCCGAAGATTTATTATTACTGGCGGGGGCAAGGTGCCCTCTAGTCAACAAAGAAATTTGGTTATTGGTGGATTGTATTGATCACGGTTTCCAGTATGAAAGCCATGTTCCCAAGTGTTTACCTTGAGTATCCACTCTTCCAATAATCTTCATTATTGGCGCGGAATATTTCCGGGACCGACTCGTCCGGTTCGAAGCGAGCATACTGCCTCTGGCGAAAGATTGCAGAGCATCTCAGGAACAGCCCTTTGACACTGGAGGTACATTGCTCATCATTTACCACATACGTCGGCAGTTCCCTTCAAGTTCTCCTTTGTCAAGTGTTCCTGCAGGTTCAAACAGGGCAAGTTCTAGTCGCAGGTACGAGCATAAGATAATGGCATGAGACTAACCAAAACCCAATTAGGAATCTTCATCCGATAATTGATACTCGTCACAAAGTTTTTCCTAAACTGTACTTGCTCGGTCTCGGGGATGCCATATTTGACCAGTTCGCTGACGCGGTTCGCAGACGTCGGTTCAGCCGTTTGTGTCGCCGCAGATTTAACAGAAGAACGTCGATTCAGAAGGTATGTGGCAGCCGAGCCTGTTATGGCTCCCAGCAAGAAGAAAGTTGTGCGGCGAGAAATTGGATTCATGTACCAATGGGACGAGCTAAAGGCTGGAAACGTCATCAGAGGTCGCGCTTTCGGACAAGTGGACGCTGTCCGAAACTCTGTGGTAAGCACAATTTCCCGTCGGTTTTTCAGTAGCTGTAGCTGCACCGATCTCTAGCTTTTCAATTCAGTAAACCCTCAGGCCAACGATCATAATCCTTTCGCCTTCAACGCATGTTGAGCGGTCACCATTCTCCATCTCAGGCTGGTAGGCCTACAAAGCACTCGCTCATATGTGATCGCACCGAGACATTTCTTGATGCTTGTAAGTCCTCGCGCCCTGTCTCACTAGCCTCCTCTTAAGTTAATGTATCAACCCTAATATTGCGCTTGTATCAAATGTCAGTTCGCACGGGCCGGTTTTCCGACGTAAAAATAATATCCCATAATCACGTATATCGCTTACACCGAGTGATACTCCTGCAGTCTCCCTTTTTTAAACGACTGTTGCTGGATGAGAACGGTGGAGAGGTGGTCATTGTTGAGGGATTTTTGGGTGTTGAGATTGGCGGAGATTGGAGGGTGACTAGAGAAGGTGTACAGGTACGCATCAGCAACGACAGGCGAGCATCCGGGATGTATGCAAACATGGGGTAACTTTCCCTTGTTCAGACAGCTCTCCGAGACCTCTATGCCGCTTCTCAACGCGCATCCATAACTCCTCTCAACGTGCTTTCGATTCTTCCAGCAGCTTGCTTCTTTGAGCTACATTCCCTGAAATCTTACTGCGTCAATACGATCCTTACCACACTCTCCACTGACACAATCGTCACTTACGCTACTCAACTCGAAAGACTACGGCCTCACGGTGTCCTCAGCTCGCCGTACGGTCACAAGCACGCATACGGTAGGCTCTTTGCAGAGTGTCACCGGAAACTGAGCGAAGCTGTATTAGGCTTCCTCTGTGGAGTTGTCAATGTGGGATTGGCTAAGGAGATCCCTGATAGCGAGAAGGGCCATGCCATGTCTGCTGAGCAAGTATTGACCAGGTTGCCATTGTGTTGGGTGCGCCGGGTGCTCGAAAGTGACTTGCTGTGTGTTCAAAGCGAATTCGAGAGATATGAATTGGTCAAGAGGGTAGTTGGATCAAGGCGCGTGACAGGATGTAGGGTCCTTGCAGATGATGTTCCGATCAAACAGGAGTTTCTCAGCGACAACGATTGCACATTTACCCGAAATGACGACCTGGAGGTGTCTCTATGGAGTGAAACTGCTAGCGTATTGGAGGATACGACGAACCATAGTAACAGCGCAGATTCATTAACGAGAAATGCAGGTCCTACCGATGCCGTTCTACGTCTCCGAAACTATTTCGGCAACCTCTTTGAAAAGGTGGTGCCCACAAACATTGGGGCACGTAAGAGAAAACGGACGGATAATTCTGATGACGAGAGCCCCTTTGGCCTAACCAATGGGCGAGAAGGCGAAGAGGAGCAATTTGTAGAAGCCGTTGAAGATTTTGCACAGGCCCCACATACGTCTATCCGTACACCAACACGGCGAGTGCCTGCGCATGGCCGATCACCGATATCCTCACCGCGCAGCATTAACAGGCACTATATTCCGGGCGCACTCTCTCCTACCCCTCAGGCAACTCCTGAAGATGCTGTAATGGCAGGTGTATTTCAAACCGCCGTCATTTACACCTACATGACCTTTCCTCAGCTTGAGCTCGTGAAACGTGACGGCATCGTTCCAGATGCTGTCGTCCTGGAAAGCTTCTGGACACAGGCGGAGCTGATGAATGGAGGACGGAGTGCAGCGCGAAAGGGCTTTCAAAAATTCCGGTTTGCGGTCAAGTTCAAAAATGTTGCAAACTACTTTCTTGGTAAAAGTGGACAGCATCTGGGTTCGATGTACCCTTCAGTGTCCGATACAGGGACCGACATTACAAAGCCGGGAATTATGTGCTCCGAATCTGTTTTGTGCGCTGGTCTCCAATACCGGGTACTGTTGACTTTGGGACCCGAGGATGATAATGACGATTCGGAGCGATGCAGCCCGTCGAACCATAGTCCATCCGAGTACTCTTCCCAAAAGCCCGTACCTGCGGACGAGCAGGCGGGAAAATCCAGGGAGGTTTTCAGGGTGTTGCTGCAGAGGAACAGAGTCGGGGAGGGGAGCACAGGAAAGAGAAAGGAGTCTGGAGTTCTCTCAAATATTTCCCATTCAGTCGGGAGCTCATCCCGCGCGTCGGGGCCCACGACAATGCCGAGTGAAACTCCCTCGACACCTAGTCAGACATCACCATCTATATCCTACCGAATCTATATCTTTGATCCTCAAAACTTTACCAGCCCTGGTAAGACCCACCCCCAATGGAAGGAATTCGTCAAGCCCGTAACGGCATGTGATCACGATGGTAGCGGCTTTGTCAGAGGGTTTAGTGTGCCACCTTTAACGACTGCAGATTGGGAAGGTGAAAAGGAGAATATGGGGGTGGGAAAAGCCAGCAGTCGCAAAGGAAAGGAGAAGGGACAAGAACCAGGGTTATGTGATGACAGCAACGGAGATCTTTGGGCAGTTGTTGTCATTGAGTTTTAGTAAATGTTATGGGTCAGAAATAGTAAGGTAAAATATACTGTTTTGGGGCACGTTGATCCTGTGTAGGAGTTCGAAAACAGTACTGGTTCGAGCTACAGGCAAATTATATAGTCCATGCACGTTGAGCAGTTTTCACTAGTTCGTTCGCAAATCCCATATGTATTCCTCCCACCGCGAGGTTAATTGTTTATATTCATGATGCCACGTGACATTACTCATTGCCTTACAACGAAACGACGTCATTGCAACTCAGACACGCCACGGTTCACCATAAAAGGCGCCGCTCGACCTCTCATTCCATATTCTGATCAAAACACACAGAATATTTTCTAAAACATGCACTGTTCAACACAACAGCCGCGCGGGCCTCGCTTTGCCCCATACGTCCCATCCATGGCGACGCTGACGCAGCCGAAATCAACTCTGAGTCCACAAGTACTGCGCGCTGCCTCTCCAAATCCCTCAAAAGCCGTGTCGCACGTCCAAGCACGACCTCCGACAACGCCAGCAACAGCAAACGATGTGGTCTTGAGCCGCCGCAGATCATCGACAACTACACTACCGCTACCTTCAATTACCGAGATCCCAGTACCCTCCGATATACTTAGCACAATGCATCCAGATGTGATGGAGACCATTGGTCCCGTGTGGAACAGGGATCTGGTTCGCGCTATAGAACGAGAGTTCCTAGCCGTCAGAATGGCATGGAGGCCAATGAGGAATCTGGACAGAGCAGAAATGGAGAGGCAGAGTATTGCTGTAGCTGCTTGACATGAGAATGTCGGGAATGTACATTGTTTGCCTTGTATCATATATCAGCTTCACTCGTGTGAATTAAATTGTACGAATCGCACATCGAAGTGCCTAAGGGTAACTTTCTTCCCACGGAAAATGCACTGAATCTTCATCCACACAGCCAACAGGCATTAAGATATGGGGGCACTGTGATGCAGAACTATCTGTTTTGGGTGTCCACGTTTCATATTACGCCCTCAGCAAATATACAAGGAGTTTATTTCGACTTCCTGATCTTTCCAAGAGCCTTTCCAACAATAGCACGGCGCTAGTGTCAAAGTAGAATGTTCACCGTGAGTAGGCGCATGTCAATGGCAGCAGAGTGTGAATTTTACCCACCTGCTTGCGGGCAACCATGAGTTTGAACCGGTCGAGGTCTGTGAGCTTGGCACGGGCCTCACGCTTGGCAATCTTCTGGGCCCATGCAGTTTTGCTCCACCGACCGAGGAGGTCCTGCTTTTCAATTTGAGCCTTGAGAGCGGGAGTACCAATGGTGCGGGGAATGCTGATCGTCAGGTCGGTGAGGGTGGCACGCTTGAAAGAGATTGCTTGACGAGCAACACCGGTCGTAGGACCGTCAACAATGACGCGGGAGTGGTCAATAATGTCAACAACAACGGCAAGCTTGCCGGCGTCCGGGCCGTAGGTGATGAGGACCACGCGGCCAACCTCAACGAACCTGCTGAAAACCTACAGAGGTAGCAGTAAAGGTGAGCGAGGATTCACCAAACTGGAGATCTTCGGTCGCTGAGACCACCCGGATTTAATGCTCCATACGAATCCCTTAACAGGGCCACCAGAGCATATCCTAGTGGGGAGTTGAATAAATCAACCCTCGTTTCGCCGTTCCCAACTGGCATAACCTAACTCTACAAGCTCCGGGCTCCAATGCCAGTTCTCTTCAAATCCATCGGCCATAGAGAGAAGGTAATCCCTTCCACGAGACGACCTTTCACCTTCTTCCCCAGTGATACCAAGTGCGTTTCGAAGAATCCTCATCGTCACGGACATTGCATGTTCGGCATGCAAATGTACCATTCTCTTCTCCCTGCTCCTCCATCCATAACCCATCCATCCGCCCGTGCCTTGGTGATCCAGAAATAAACTAATGCCCCATAGATACATACCATCTTTATTATCTGATGGACGGAAAAGTTACGATGGACCCAAAAGGCTGTAAAAGCTTTCGGATGTTTCACCGATGGATGGATGGAAAGGAAGAATCAGACTTTCGACTTGCCAGCCTCTCCAATGCCCTCGTCTTCTACTAAGCCTCCCACTGGAAGGACGCTGACGAGAAATAACGAGATTTCAGCCAATGATGTTGTCCGCATATAGCCATATATGGAGAAATGTCCACGTGACCAGGAGCAAGTTCAACAAAGCAACTCTCTCGGCCTCAGAGCTATCTTCCTTCTCCGCATTGATCATCCTCTGTGTCTTTCTCCAGGCGAGGATTCAACCACGATGGTGAGTTAGAGGGAGGATGATGGGAGGAGCTGAGATGTTTGGATCGTATGGAATGGAAACTGTTCGGGATGGATTGATGGAGGATGATGGATGGATGGATGTGCGAGACGAAAGTGGATCACATTGTCGCCCTGAATTACGTGGACCCATGACGATGTGAAGCAAGATGAAGACACTCGTATATAGCAGATTTGCAAATTGGAGGGCGATCAAGATACAATTCTCTGTCGACAGTCACTTATACAGTCCTTTGTTTGGTGTTTCTCTAGCCTTTCGTCAAGCTCGTTAAGAACAAGGCGTACTACAAGCGGTACCAGACCAAGTACAGGCGTAGGCGCGGTGAGTAGGTGCATTGCACTGTCCTTGTTTTGCTGCCTACAGGCCCGAGTTCGACGTGAGAGAGTTTCGTGCACATGATGATTACATAGTTCAACCGAGAAACTATCGTGTGGATTCATTTTTCTTTCGCTCCTATCTGAACCACGAGACTCTCTACGTCGAATCAGGGTCTGAAGTCTCAATAAATGTTCATGTTGAACTGACGCAATTTGTATAGAGGGCAAGACTGACTACTATGCCCGGAAGCGTTTGGTGACCCAAGCCAAGAACAAGTACAACTCGCCCAAGTACCGATTGGTTGTCCGTATCACCAACAAGGATATTATCACACAAATTGTGTACGCCAAGCTCCAGGGTGATGTTGTTCTTGCCGCCGCTTACGCCCACGAGCTGCCACGGTATGGTATCAAGCACGGTCTGACGAACTGGGCTGCCGGTAGGAATCACAAAGCAATTTGTCACGGACAAATCTCCTGACAGATGGAAACTTATTCAATTCTATGTCGCAGCTTACGCCACTGGTCTCCTTCTTGCCCGACGTGTCCTTGCGAAGCTCGGACTTGACAGCAAATACGAAGGTCAGACTGAGCCTGATGGAGAAAAGTACGAGGTAGAACCCTTGGACGACGGTCCTCGTCCTTTCACCGCCTACCTCGACACTGGTCTCCGCCGCACTACCACAGGTCACCGTATCTTCGGTGCGTTGAAGGGTGCCGCTGATGGAGGTCTTCGTGTTCCCCACAGTGAGAGCCGTTTCCCTGGATGGGATGGCAAGGAGATCGATGCAGAGCTTCTCCGTGGGTACATCTTTGGTCGCCACGTTGCGGACTATATGGAATACCTGCAGGAAGAAGATGAGGAGGCGTACAAACGTCAATTTGCCTCTTACATTGAGGACGAAGTTGAACCCGATGATCTCGAGGACTTGTACACCGAGGCACACAAAGCCATCCGCGAGAACCCCTTGGCAGAGAAGAAGGAGCGCACACCTCTCACTGAGGAGCAGAAGAACAAGCTCAAGCGGTTCAAGAAGCAGCGTCTAGGCCTTAAGCAGCGCAAAGACCGTGTTAAGCAGAAGAAAGAGGCTTTCTTGCGCAAGTTGGGTGAGGAGGCTGACGAATAGAGGCGTATGTCGGCGGATTTGTAAAATAACATGCAATATTACGGGGTTTTCCCAGCCAATTGAACCATCTTGAATACCATGTGTTTTGCAGTTTCGAATATTTTGCTATATTGATTGCCCGTATGATTCAGTAGTCAATCTTTGCTCGCGAAATCAACGAATTTGCAGGGTGGTTTGGTAGCGCACACTTCATGGAAATGAGTCAGTACCCGCTGATTGTCCAGATGGGCAAGTCACTGGATGATGTTGGTGTTTCTATAGAAACAATCGAGATCTTCCATAATCACGTGATGCGAATCTTCAAGATCACCAACTGATGAGCTTTTGAGGTTCGTTCCCCATTAGAGTCCTGCACGGAATCAGAGCCATGTTGCCAATAAATCGTGCACTGTCCAGGGGGCTGTTTACTGGACTCGCCTTCAAGGCTTGTTCTTCTACTGACGTTGCCTTGGCTCGGGCGTGCTATTCTATCCGCTTTCAGTCTACATCAACCCACCTTACCGACGCTAGTAACCGCATCCGAAGACGACGCAAGAAGCCGGCGTTTCTTGACCGTACACCATTTCCTCCGTCTCCGGAAGAAGCTGTGAATAATATCCTCTACAACACACCAAACGCTACCCCCGCGCCCGTTACTCGACATGTCCTAAACTGCCTTGTTTCCAATGAACCTGGTGTTCTCTCACATGTATCGGGAATCCTCGCTGGAAGGGGTTTCAACATTGAATCGTTGGTGGTTGCCAAGACCGAGGTACCCGATTTGTCACGTATGACCATTGTTCTGAATGGGCAGAAAGTTGTGATTGAGCAGGCGAAGAAACAGCTGGAGGACATGGTGCCGGTGTGGGCCGTTTTGGACTATACCCATGGCAGAATTGTTGAAAGGGAACTGCTTTTGGCAAAGGTTTCCACTGTGCCGCATGAGCATTTGAGTGAGTTCGTAGAGCATGAGATTGAGGGACAGGAGGTTGAGGAGCCCGAGGTATAGTTTCCGCTAGGTGGTCTTTATTATCATCTGCTTTACGCTAATATAACGGGCTCTTTAGAGTCGGACGTCTTTCTCCCCTTTGCTAGGAACCGCTTTGCAGCGACAGGCGATCACCGAGCTGGCCCGTCTGTTTGGGGCCCGTGTGGTGGATGTTAGTCTCGATGGGGTTATCCTTGAGCTCAGTGCAAAACCCGACCGAGTAGATGCTTTTTTGAAGCTTCTCAAGCCATACGGCATAGTTGAAGCTGCGCGGTCGGGTAAGTAGATATCTTTCTTGCGCCACAGCTCGAGAAAATGTTACCAACATTCATTCTCATCTATTTGTTCCTCGATTCTCAGGTGCTATGGCCATGCCTCGTAGTCCTGTGGATGGTGTCTTCGAAGACGAAGCTAGTCTTGAAGTAGAAGATGACAGTGGGAAGGTTGACGCTACCATGCTTCCACCGGGATAACTTGGTAGGTGCGCGGCGTACAAGGAGGAATGTCCATCGATGATGATATTGCAAGAAATCAAGCTCTAGAATTACTCTGATCTCCATGATGGGAATTCTGTGCGCTGAGATGGATCTATCTGCATCGCTTAACCTGGCGCTATGAATATGAGTCCCTAACCTTTGACATGTGCTCCAGATGATGTGGACGTGAAGATAGCCGGTGTATAAATCTAATTGGATGAGGCACGTTATGCTAGCTCGTCTTCGCCCAATATAATAGTACCAATGTTAGATATGGAGCGTCACTAGAAATGCAAGGTTAACATTTTCACAAAATTTCCGAGTGCTCAAAAATGTTGTGTATGCCACTCTACAGGAAACGTTATGTTAAGTTTCTTCGCCAGATGGCAGATGCAATTGGACCAATGTCCGACACATATGTCACTCGACACGCCGGGTTAATATCATTGTCAATTTGTTCCCGTGCTTAAAAAGACTGGGTACGCCACTATCTACAGATATCTATGCTCCGTCCACTTCGTCAATCTTCCAGTCAATAGATCCTGGGCCCGCAACAAGTATCGCTGGTGATTGAACTTTGCCGTTGACCTTCTCTAGCGACGGGCTTTCGAAGGTATCCCGGCTTCCGCTGGCCATGTTCCGTTCAAGTCGAAACTTGCCCACGCCCAAATGCCGCCGAAACGCCTCGTTAAAGCGGTTGTTGTCGGTTACCATGATCAGCATGTTGCATATTCCAGAAATGCATACCAAGGCGTGAGCCAGGTAGTCCATAACAAGTGGAACGGGTCTGCCCATAATTAGCTCTGTGGTAAAGAACATTAATTGATACACCAGGATCTCGTTAACATCAAGATCACTCACCAAGCACGAACATGACGTTATACAGTGCCCATCCCAAGAAAAATACTGCAACGATCCGCAATGATCGGTTGAACACTATCTTTTCTAACACCTGTCTTCTTTGGGTGGTATGTTGGCGCGGCGCCTTTCCCCGGGAACCAGTTCCTTGTCCTGACACTTCATGTTCGTCCTGGTCCGCATTCGCCCCCTTCATCACGAAGAGAACCACTTCCAAACAAGTATCTACAAGTCGACGCAGCCGGCTTCGCTCAGGAGGCAACTCCTGCGTCGACATCGCGCGAGTTTGGATTATGGACTGGCCAGCGTTTGCAGTGCTCGCTGTTGCGACGGTAGTTGCAGTAATTCGGCTCTTCATCAGATCTTGGAGCTCCCTAGTTTGGTTTCGCACAACCAACCACGTTTTATAATACAGCAGGACTGTCAGACTCATAGAAGTGGAGAGGATTGCGAAACAGGTGATGGTGAAAATAACACCTCGGGTTTCGCGAGTCCACCAGGCAGCTGCACAAGTAACATTGGTGGGGCGGCGACAAAGGGTGCCAAGAAGGAAAGGAAAGCCAGCGATTCCAAATGCCGTGAACCATGGGACGGAGGCCATTGCAAGAACGTTTCGAGTGGGCATGGGGCTTTGCTGAGCGAGTTAAACGGTGAGCCATGTTGTCAATACCGTTGAAATTCAAAGTTCCATCCCACCTTTACAATCGCAAAGTATCTCTCTATAGCGATGGTGCTCATAGTTATAAGCTGTGCGGATCCGGTGAATAAAGCCAAAGCCCCTTGCCATTTGCACGCTACAGGCGACACATATGCATTTTCTGCAAGATTCCAGAGGAGCACTGGAACGGAGGTGCTGTTGAGCAGAGTATAGGGTTAGCAAAACGAAGAATAGTGACTTCCGCATCAAATCTACACTTACAAAGAATGCAAAAAGTCAGCTAAACTCATGCTCATTAGCAACATATTGCTCGAAGTCCATAGCGGCTTCTCTCGTGCAAAGACATAGAGCAGTAGCCCATTTATAGAAAAGGATATGATCAAGGGTATGCAGACCTTAGGAACAAAGTGAAAGATTAGCGTTGCGGGCTTCAGAGTGCTTTTGCTGCAAAAACTTGAGATAATTACAACTGCCACCATCACTTGGGACTCAATGGTAAAAGGAACCGGGAAGTCGGCAGGATCGATATCGACCTCTGGAAATGTCCACACCATGTTGGGCAACGGCGTTCGATGATCGGTCAAGTGTGCAGTTTGAGACAGACAGGGGACCCAAGGGAAAATATGCTTTTTCTTATTGAGAATTCCATCTGTTCTCCACTAGGGATTCAGATCACATCCCTCACATAGTATCCACCAAAATTAGAACAACCTTAGTTTGTTTTGATCATTCATGCTACTAAATATATAACATGTTTATATGGATGCCAGAATCCCTTGGAGGATGAGCATAAAACTTACGGTAGACACCTTGACAGACCTTGCGGGCAAGTCGGGGGTTGTCCCTTCGGGTATTTCCTGCGCAGACTCCCCCAATTTACGTTTTATAGAGTTTGACTTGCAATGCACGTGGATAACAGTGAATTAAACTTACAAGTTACTTACAAAGGCAAGACCCACGTGCATATGAGATCCTCGCTGTCGATTTTGAACAGAATGTTGTGATCGCCAACAACATCGTAGGATGTCGTGCTGAGATCGTCGTCCTTTATTGGCACAGACGGCTGTGATCAAGAAAAAAACAAAAAGCTTCCCCCCCATTACGTGGGTTTCTAACACGTGCATTAGGTTAAGCGCAGTTCCAAAGCCCTCCTCCGTTTCTTCTTTAAATATCTGCATTGTCAACCTCATCTGTCTCGCCAAAAGTCCTCATACTGCAATCATGACCAAGTTGACCAACCTTCTGATTCTTCTTCCTCTCATATGTGGAGCGCGCGCTGCTCCTTTGGCGGCTCCGCAAACTCCATATGAAATTGTTCCCAAGGCTGAGACAGGACCTGCTGGGATTGACGGTGACGATCCCGCCATTTGGATTCACAAAAAAGACACGGCCAAGTCCGTCGTGATTACAACCTCCAAAGAGAAGGCAGATGGAGGTCTGCATGTCTTTGATTTGGACGGCAAGGTGTGCACGCTGCATCCTAGTGATTAGTTTTCTAATTGGATGATCCTTTGATATCTTCTTCCTATGTATAGCCACTGCAATTCGTCTCAGCTGGCAGGCCCGACAACGTTGATGTAATCTATGACCTAGAATTTGATTCTGAGAAAATTGACATTGCTATCGCGGCCTGCCGAACCGATGACACCATCTGTATGTGGAAGATTAACGAGAAGGGGCGGCTTGAGGAGATTCGAGGTGGAACGCAACCAACGCCAGACGGGTTTAAGGTATATGGAAGTTGCGAGTACAAGAGTCCAAAAAGTGGCAAGCAGTATGGTATGTCACGAGAGTTGGACACCCCCGTCAAGAAGTCATAACCTAATACCAACGTGTTGTCGTAGTCTTCATCAACTCGAAAACTTCCGAGTACCTCCAATATGAGATTTTCGCGAAGGGCCGCAGCCTCACATCTAAACTGGTTCGTCGTTGGAAAGCGGGCAATGGAGGCCAGGTTGAGGGGTGTGTGGCTGACAAGGATAATGGATGGTTGTTCGTCGGCGAGGAGGACAAAGGACTGTGGAAGTATGATGCTGAACCTAACGGAAGTACCAAGGGAACCTTGGTTGATTCCGTTGACACTGCAAATGGAGGGCATCTGGTTCCAGATGTTGAAGGTGTATCACTATTTTATGGCAAAGAAAAGGTTGGTTTCACAGCAATGACTGAAGCTGCACACCATTTTGACACGCAATTCGACTCCGCAGGACGAGGGATATATCTTCGTCTCCGTCCAAGGCATCAGCGCATACAACGTTTATGAGAGGAAAGCCCCCCACAAGTATCTTTTTTCCTTCACTGTTAAGGCGGGTAACAATATCGACGAAGTGACTGAGACTGACGGCCTTGCTGTCGTCTCCACCGGCTTGGGAACCAAATTCCCACAGGGACTGCTGGTAGTTCATGATGACCATAAAACGAATCCAGATGGTAGCCAAGCCGCCGAAACGACTTTCAAGTACGTGGACTTTTCTGACATTGCCAACAACGACCGTGTGAAGTTGAGGGTCAACCCCACCTGGGATCCCCGCAAATGAGGACGAATGCAAATTTCAGATCCTTACCATGCCCGCCTGAATTTATCATGCGATATTAATGATAGATCATGCTATATACCATATATACATAAGGATAGAATCAAATCAGGGAGCTATACTGCAACGGAGGTCGTTGCACCTATGGTCTAAATCAAATACGTTGGCATCCCTATCCGGCTCTAACCTTCACCCTCGATTTCGCCACACTGCTAGATGCTTGATGCAAGCTCACGTCAGAGCTCGATACTCATTCACAGCATGGACCATGCCTTCTTGTTCCAGCCAGTAAACTACAAGCTGTTGTATCACCTTATGATAGAGCGTCCAGCTGCCGCATGTTCTTCCAACTGTAATTGCACCACTGAGCCAGGCCCAATGTCCCGCCGCAGCTTGCCAGGTAGCTTGCAGTGTTTTCATATCTTCGAGATAATGAACTAAATGAAATATACCGGTTGTTGTGACATTGCTGGGTTCCGGATGGGCATGCCTTATTTCCGTTAAGAAGAGAAGGTTAAAATGCGCACGCCAGGATGCAAGGGACGGGCGGAGGAGGTCATCGAGAAGGGTAAGCAGAGTGGGAGAAGATGTCGTGGTGCGTACGTGGTTGAAGCACTGCGTAAGGATGGAAAGTGCTGGACGGGGTTGTAGATCCACATCCATGAGATCTACAGTTGAAGGGGCAGGTAGTGGTTGCGTAGATTCACCATCTAAACTTCTCTTGCGATTAAGATCTTCTGTTGGTGTTGTGAACCACATTTTGTGCGCAATGGGACAAATGGTGGCAACCGTAGCAATTGGTGAGGGTGGAGGAGTCCATAACGACCTTAACTCAATGTCGGGTTCGGCTTGAGTGGAATACTCCGAGCGTACTCTCTTACACGCCAATCGTTCATTGCCTTGTGAGCTATCCATCAAGCCAGAGCTGACCATCCCTGCCATGATGGACCGTCCCAATTTCTTAGCGAAAGAATAGATGCCAACAAGGAAAGGAAACTGCTGAAACAGACCTGCCTCTAACTTGCTCCTTACCTAAGCAGATTTTGTTGGCATGACGACACCTTATGCCACCACAATCAGCCATAGTGTGGCTTTGCGCGCTATACCCTGACGTGCCGGCAAGACCAGCGATAACAACAACCGTACAAGATCCTGCCGTGTAATCAACGTCTTTCGCACATTACCTAGCCGTCGCCTCCCAGTGTGGAAGAGTATCCCGAATTTCACCTTTCACAACGACAATTACAACATCTGAACTGCAACCATGTCTGGTAGTACTCGCTTGGCGTAACCTAGGCCTTTCCTGCCAACGGCGAACTTACGTCGAGATTCTTCGCTGTTACGCAGGTCCGGATGAATGGCTCGAAACAGTGAAGAAATGTCAGTATCTTCCTGAACCTGACATAAAAAAACTCTGTGACATGGTGGGTATGTCAGGGACTTTGATATATTGTTGACGCGGTGGAGAAGGGGCCCAATGTCTCGTGCCAACTTTGGAGGGAACCACGGCAGCAGAAATTTTACATGGCGCTGTGATGATTGGAGTGCATTATTGTGGGCACAATCGTGCTTTGAAAGAAGTCCCGTCCGGCATGGTCTTTGGCGCATTTCACACGGTGCTTGTGCTGACAATGTCAACTGGTGGATGAATGCCAATCGAAGATCATTTTGTTGACCAGCACTCTTTGTAATTTCGTAGGTTAAGGAGCTCTTGATGGAGGAATCAAATATTCAGCCCGTACATTCACCAGTTACGGTTTGTGGCGACATTCATGGTCAATTCTACGATCTACTGGAGTTATTTAAAGTGGGAGGGGAGATACCTAATACGAGCTACATTTTCATGGTCGGTGGGAAACCCGTTCTATTCAGCATATCTGGACACGCAAAGCTCATTTCTGGTCCTGTTACTTAGGGGGATTTTGTGGATCGGGGGTATTACAGCTTGGAAACGTTCACACTATTACTGGCACTGAAGGCCAGGTAAGCAATGCGCAGCCTAAGTTTGTCTACCATATCCAGAACCTCGGAGCTCAAGAATCTTTTCTGTTCCAGGTACCCAGATAAGATCACCCTATTGAGGGGCAATCACGAGAGCCGACAAATTACACAGGTGTACGGATTTTACGGTGCGTAATGATAGCCTCGACTTTTTCAGCGACCGTCCTGTAAAATTTATCCATGTCACATAGATGAATGTCAGACCAAATATGGGAACGCAAACGTGTGGAAATACTGCTGTTCTGTATTCGATTATCTGACACTAGCAGCGGTATGTGCAAAAAGAGGAGAATCAAGAATTACCACCAAAATATCCATTTGACACCAATCGTAGATTGTCGACGGGCGGGTGTTATGTGTGCATGGTGGCCTTTCTCCTGATGTGCGGACACTGGACCAGATCCGAACGATACAGCGATGCCAAGAGATTCCGCATGAGGGCGCCTTCTGTGGTATGTTTCTGAACGCTCATCCGTGGCAAAGTCTTGGAAGTTTACATCTATTTCTTTAGATCTGATGTGGTCAGATCCAGAGGACATCGACACATGGGCGGTGAGTCCGCGAGGGGCTGGATGGCTATTCGGGAGCAAAGTTACGTCTGAGGTGAGTGAACTGACGATGGTGATGCTCGGAAAGCTCATAACTGACAATTCTTGTGTGTTGAAGTTCAATCATGTAAATAACCTTATCCTTATTGCACGAGCACACCAATTGGTACAAGAGGGGTATAAGTACATGTTCCAAGATGAAAATCTTGTTACCGTATGGTCCGCACCAAACTACTGTTACCGTTGCGGCAACGTTGCCTCGATCATGTCGATTGACGAGAGTTTAGAGATCAATGAAAGTTCCTTCAAAATCTTCAACGCAGTACCGGACACGGAACGAGTGGTACCACCTAGACAGACAACGCCATATTTCTTATGATGGGGCATATGTAAGAACGGGACATTACAGAAGCAATATAATGTATGTCTATGATTGACTGAATGGTATCTGACCAGGATTTTCTACTTCTTCAATAATACTCTTTAAATTGTGGTTGGTGACTTTTTCTGTATGAAGGATATAGTGCATGTACTATAAAGTATCATTTGGATACTTTCAATTATAAACACACGAGGCTAAGAGCTGCTTACACATGACTCGCGTAAGCAGCGGATGTTCAATAGCCTTTCCGATTGTCATTGAAAAACACTAGGCGCATGACTCACTTCAACATGTTTCTACGATCCTGCGAGGTCCATACTTTCGCCGATACGTCCGTACTTTAACATGTCATTCAGCTGGACAGCGATCGATGAAAGAGAACGCTCAAAGGCTGAGAGAGATCGGCAACTCAAAGATTTTCTGAAAGCTCAACAAGCGGAAACTAAGGATCGGTGCGGTCAAAAGGACTTGAATAAGACCTGCAAAACCCTTGCTAACAATGCTTACGTTGTAGGAAGCTGAAGCACCGCCAGAATGAGGTTGAGGAGTACCAGAAGTTGTTGGGAGTGCGCAATGTTAAATCGGTATGCAGCCCCTGCACTCTGAAGAAATTTGAACACTGGTAACATTTGTTGCTCAAACAAGCGGCCTTCGGACGGCAACATCAGCAATGCCCCGCAGCTTGGACGTGAAAGGGAGACAATGCCGCTATCAGATGCGCGGCAACAAATTGACAAATCGTCGGCATCCGCGCTCCCCGTTCCAAATCATGCCACAAATCTCCCCGCATCAACCTCGCTCCTTGCCATCTCTCCATCTCTACCGTCCGTATCTCCTATGCCAGACTTCCAAACCCCCTTGAAGGGTTCCGTTTCTTTTGATTTGGAGTCCCAACTTGCCCAGGAACGCCGCCTACGGACACACCTCGAATACGAACTTCAGACGGGCAAAACCCTCCTGGCATCCCTCAGTGCTAAAATGGACAAACTGTCTTCATCTGTGGCGTCCTCACAAGTCAGCCTTCACGATATTTCTCGCCAAGCGGCTGATGCAGATAGACGTTCAAGAGATCTAGAGTCATCCATTAGTGCCCTCGGTAACTATAATGCAGGAAACACTCGACAAATAATTGCTGAAGTGGTTAGCAAGCAGCAGCGGCATGAAGAACAAATCCGTGAAGAGGAGAATACTCGCCATCGTGGGTTGACAGACG